AAAACAGACAATTTCATAGGAGTTTCTGAAACCCTGATCATAACTTCGATTACTGGAGTAGTGTACTCTTTACTATCAGGCCAGCCTTTAGTCATTATTGGAGTTACCGGACCAATGTTATTGTTTGATGAAATATTGTTTAAGGTAAACATTGATAAGAGCGAAGTTTTTTTTTTTTTTTGTAACACATTTTGAAAAAAAAATAGTAGTCTTCAAGCAGAATGTTTTAAGTGCTATATTGGCAAGCATGTGGTTTCAACGATTGACTTTATGAAAAGTTTCATAAGTTTCGAGTAATAAACGTATTCAAGTTTCAGTTTTTACATGTTTTGATATATTATTCTTGACAAATACCAGCGCTCATCATTCCGGCTGCAACATAATATAAAACTTTATTTCAAATAGAATTTATTAAATATGTTTTAAGTCAAAAATTCAAATTGAGCTCGTGCCTGGTTGCCAAGGAGAGATGTATATCTTCGAAACAAGTCTGGAAAACTAATGTAGCATTGTCTACATTATATAAACCTCTTGAGAGTTTGTAACCGAAAAAAGAATCTAGATCTTTATATTAGATAGTGCACGGAACTGATGTAACGTACAGAGACTTTGGTGTTGGTGTATCTTCAAAGAATTAATATAGTAGCAGTAGCATTATGAGGATACGAAGTGGTCATCACATTTTTGCTGTTATTTTATGCGTAACATCAATCGACTACTAATGTACTTTGCAATGACAACGAATTAACTTCCTGAACTGCGCATGAATGTTGATAACGAATTAAATCCATGAACAGTATATGGGTCTATAATCACACTTCATTGCTTAATTTGATATTTCCAAAAACATTATTTGTTTTTTGTTAATAACAAAGCTACACAAAAGACTATCTATGCTGCACCAGCATCAGGGATCAAATCTCGAATTTAGGGCTATAAGCCCTCAGGCTTTCCGCTAAGCCAACGATAACACAAAATAATAATAATTAGAAATAAGCGGCATAACACACAATTAAACAATGCGTATGTCCATATTTTTCATTTATCAATTCGATTTCTTTCTTTTTTTTTCTTTCTTAGTTTTGTGAAACCAACGGGATTGAATTTCTTCCTACAAGGGTGTGGACAAGCTTCTGGGTTGTCATTATCGCAACGACCGTTGTGGCATTCGAAGGCAGCGCGTTTGTACGTTTCTTCAGTCGTTTTACACAGGAAATCTTCGCCGCTCTGATATCTCTGATCTTTATCTATGAAAGTTTTTACAAAATGTATAAGGTAATTTAAAATATCAAACCAAATAATTTTCTTAACTTAGTCACTTATTATTATTATTCACAGCTATGTTCATATTGTTATAACGTTGTTTTTTCGTTCAACTTCCAGTCCAGATAACGAGAATAAATGATTAAAGTTTTTACAAGCTTGAACACTTCTACACTGTCGTAAATTGTTGCAAGCCTACGTTACAAATGACGTTCAAACTGTATACACTTACGTGAACAAAATAAAGTAACCCAATAAATTAAACAAATTACAACAATATTATAGCTTATAATAGTATTTTTAGCACACGAAAACTTCGGTGCTTTTACAGTTTAAACAAGCAGAGGAGAATTATTCCATTCTATGAGTTTAGCTTTACTGAAAGTTGAAAAACCACGTATAAAAGCTTTGATTGAATATTTTAGCCGGTGACAGCTAATAGTGGATTTAAACTGTTTGATCCGACGAGAACTTCTCTGGAATGCTGTAAAGAATAGCAACTTTATAAGCACAAATTAAGTAACGAAGAACACACACAAATTTACAAAAATATAAAGTTGATTATCCCGACTAGTTTCGACATCTCATGTGCATCATTTTCAAGGGTATACTATGTGTGTGTGTGTGTGAACAGCGACATCTAGCGAGTGTTGTCTTCTCGGTCTGATTTCTTCATTTTTGGGAGTGCTTTTTGTTACTAAACCACAGAACTAAATATTCTTTGATGTTATTATCATTTCCATAAAAGTCCAGTTGGTAAACTTCTCACTGACTATTTAATTCTTTTTTAACCGATTTGTATTTAATGAATAATTTAGTTATCTTCTTTAAAACAAAGCTCTTGGAAAATAACGAATTAATGCGATCCTTTGTATTTGAGGTTAATAACTTTTAATACCAGTTTATCTTTAGGAATAAGTACATTAATCAAATCAAATTAGTTATTACTTAAGAACTGTGGTAAAATGAATGTAGGTCATTTGTTAATATTGTCTGTTCTGAAGTTGTTGCAAAATTTGCCAAAGCCACACATGGATTATTACCTATATAACACATCTTATTTTTCTAGGTGTTCTTAAATCATCCATTGTTGACCGATTACTGCCATTTCTTAGATATAGAAACACTAAACACTACTAACCAATCATGGTTCGAAAACACCACTGACTATCGTCTGCTGACTAACGCTACTAGTGAAGACTTTCCTGGTTCGACTGGACTTCCAGAAAACCAACCGAACACGGCTCTTCTTTCATTGATAATGATGATTGGAACATTTTTCATAGCGTATTTTCTCAGGCAGTTCAGGAACAGTAAATTCCTAGGTCGAAATGTAAGTATCAGTTGTTTTTATTAAAGTTTACTAGATGAGAGAGACTCCAAGCTTTGATAGATAACAGAGAAACTCAAGGTTTGCTTGATTTCTCTAGATGGGAGAGAGACTCCATGGATGGTTAGATCACAGAATCCACAGAACACCAAGATTATTAGATAAAAGTTAATGCGATAATAGCAACAAACGTTTAAAATTAGGAATTACAAAATTAGAACATTGGCCTAACGTTTCTGAAAACATCAATTCCCAACACTGGTGTGCAAGACAGACATTTTTCTAAATGGATAATAATTATTATAAATACCAAATAAACTATATAAATGCCTGACTAAAGCTCCTTTATGATTTTACTTTAATTATAGCATTGAAATCATTTTTATCAAAATTTCCAATTAAATTTCAACCTGTTAAGTATCCAATGGTATGGGAAAATATTCGAATTATATTTTCACTGTTTTATTTTAAAAATTGAATATTGTAAAATTTGTAGTATTTTTTATATTTTCAATCTGAAAGACGGATCTTTATGTGACGCGTGAAAGAAACTCATGGCAGAGACCCCCCCCCATAAGGTTCAGACGTATCCATCTCAAATTAAAAACAGCTGATGGGAGGGAAAGGGGTGGAATCAGAGAGGGACGACAACCAGTCAGCAGTAATCGCTTCATACGCGGCTTCTTTTAATAGAATAGCGTAACTAACTATCACAATCTTCACAGTTCCACAGCTGGAAATGCGGTGCGAATTCAAGGTTATATTGCGTCTCGAGCCTTGGACTATCCGATGCAAAGCCCGGGATGCTAACGGCTAAGTCCGGCCCTAGAATATAATGCCATAACAATAAAATTTAAATAACTTATCAGTAAAAGAAAATAATTTGTCTGTTTTGTTTTGAATTTCGCGCAAAGCTACACGAGGGCTATCTGCACTAGCCGTCCCTAATTTAGCAGTGTAAGACTAGAGGGAAGGCAGTTAGTCATCCCCACTCACCGCCAACTCTTGGGCTACTCTTTTACCAATGAATAGTGGGATTAACCTTCACGTTATAACTACCCCACGGCTGAAAGCGAGCCTGTTTGGTGGGACGGGATTCGAACCAGCGACCCTCAGATTGCGAGTCGAACACCCCAACAACCTGGCCACGAAGGAAATAATAATGTGTAATCATATGCGAAACGTACAATAACTGCCATATCCAATGCCGACAAGGTCTTTCGATCAATACCAGGGCTCATTAGGCCAGTTGGAATACGACATACAAAGCAGTGGTCGAACTATATCGTCCAATAAATTAAGTAAGTAAGTTGTAATTATCATCAACTTCATAAAAGACATTTACAAATCAGAATTAGGTTAAAGATTAATAACACAATCCTATTTACATATCTTTAACACCAATTTTTTAATATTATTAATTTTAATTGAATTAACGTTAACACTATTCGGAAGGAATGACGAACCACCAAGATAGTATACTAGAAACACGTTTTAAAAGGTTGATGAACCGTTGTGAAAGACAATTGTTGAATGCCTAAGAATGTAAACATCTGTATTTGAAGTAATACAATGTTGTTTTTCTAGGCACGCAGGGCACTTGGAGATTTTGGTGTACCAATCGCTATAGTGTTTATGGTGATCGTGGATTCTCTGGCTCAAGACACTTATACTCAAGTAAGAAAGAACGCTTAGTATAATATATAAATATGTGACACTTTACAGCATTTCCAGTCATTATCTGACGAATAAAATTATAGAGATACTTTGGTTTTGTAACTGACTGATGATGACATGTGAAGAACCTCAAGATATCATCTTCAGTATAGTTTACGTTGTAATACATTCTATCTTCTTCAGTATAGTTTACGTTGTAATACATTCTATCTTCTTCAGTATAGTTTACGTTGTAATACATTCTACCTTCTTCAGTATAGTTTACGTTGTAATACATTCTATCTTCTTCAGTATAGTTGTCGTTGTAATACATTCTATCTTCTTCAGTATAGTTTACGTTGTAATACATTCTACCTTCTTCAGTATAGTTTACGTTGTAATACATTCTATCTTCTTCGGTATAGTTTACGTTGTAATACATTCTATCTTATTCGGTATAGTTTACGTTGTAATACATTCTATCTTCTTCAGTATAGTCTACGTTGTAATACATTCTATCTTCTTCGGTATAGTTTACGTTGTAATACATTCTATCTTCTTCAGTATAGTTTACGTTGTAATACATTCTACTAT